TTAATGCAAAAGTGATTTATAAAACTATAAGTCTATTCTTTGTAACTGAACTAATATACTCTTTAACTTAAATAGTTTTACACTATTTAAAATAAAATGGATATATATTTGAAGTTTGACGAAAAAATTTTTTAATGTAACTTAGTGCTGTGACAAAGAACAGATCGTATATAAACAATCTGAAACATACACCGTTCTTGTCTTGAAAATTAAATTGAAAATATACTGGGAAATAATGATATTTATAAAATTTATTTTTCGACAAATCAGTTAAACATGAGTTCGCAAAAGTTGGATCTAACCGCATCCAAAGCAATCCCTAAATTCGCTTCGGTCTAAAATCATTGTAAGATTCAGGGATCGTTCGAGCAAATTGGGCATTGATAACTTGTTTTTTTTCCAAATCGTCTTGTCTAACAAGGAACTATTGCATATTTTAAAAAATGGAGATTATGTATTACACAAAGATATTCTTATAAAATTTTATTGATTATATATAATCTTTACTTCTAAAAATATTGGATTCAAGTCGATTTGAAAAAAAAATACAAGCTGTCTTCTTCGTAAGCAATTATGAAAAAGAAATTAGTTTCTAGTTTCTCTGTTTTCACTAGTCATATATTTATTCATGAATTAGGATTAGTAAGATATGAGAGAGAGAGAAAGAGAGAGGGAGGGGGAGGGGGGGGGAGAGAGAGAGAGAGAGAGCGTAGAGAGGTCCAGGTTTGAGTCCTGGCTAGAGTAATATTTTTCGCAATAAATTCTTTACAATTCTTTAAGATCCTCATTATTAAATTGCTTGTCAATTTAATTTGTGATATTAAGTATTCCAGCTTTAGTTTAGTTCATCTTTCTTTTTCTCTCCAACGTGAAAAGAAAAAAGAAAGGGTGAACTCCGTAAGAAGTTCAGTTAAAAAGGACAAGGCCCTTATTCTTGAAAAGTATCGCATACGTAAAACTAATACTATAGTACAGGTAACGTATTTTCTTAGTTTTACGTATGCGATACTTTTCAAGAATAAGGGTCCAGGTCCGTTGTATTTCAAAACCGACAAATAATTGGCGCGCCATTTACTTGATCTGGAAATTGTAAGATTTACGCAAAAATATTATCAGGCATCAACATTCTCTTTGACCGACTTTCTTCACTTATTTGTGTTAATTAGGATTAATCTTAAGCGATGCGAATTTCGAAAAGATCTATCTTGAATCTATCTAGACATCTATGATGATATCTTCCAATATAAATAATGTAGCAATAAAAAATTGATTAATGGTAAATTTATTATTATGATAAAATTATGCAAAAAACACTCGAACGATCTCAGAGATTTACGATTAATGTATGGGTGCGCGCGTGTGTATGTGTATGTAATCAGATGTAATACCAATTTTATGTTATGAGTCTCGAAGAATAGCGGCGTCCACGACCAGTTGAGGGCGAGATTAAGACCGTAGACGCTGAGCGGTACGGCCGCTCCCTCGAAGCCACCCCCGTCTCGCCACACAAGGTACGACGAGTAACCCACTGTACAGTAGATGGTGGTCCACACGGGTCCGAATACCCAATTCGGCGGGGTGTACTTCGGCTTTTTCAGCGACTAGAACAAGAGAGTGACGGATTAAGCGCGGCGGACACATCTATACGTACAAAAGCGATATATTACGTGTTATTATATCATTAGCGGTAAGGTGTAATTTATTGTAAACACACTTGAGCATTTCCGCGATTGACGGTAGATAGAAGTGCTGCTTGGTCGTTTTTTAAGTTAAGTCTCCTATTTCTCTTTCACACGAAGAGATTTTGTGTAAGCGAAATAAAAGTATCGAAATAACATATCGGCACTTACTTTGCAACATAAATATTCGAGATAAGATTTCTGATTTTCTCTTGAATATTTGCAAAAACCTATCTTCTTCTTATGTATCCTATAAAGCGATACTCATGAAATCATAGACTGTGCCCTCAATCACTGGTTACATAAGCATAATTGAAGATTCATAGTTATACCAAGTTATACATAATTACTGAGTTTTTGTAGTGAATGGCTGTGTTCAGCAGAATATTTATTTTACAACCGTTGGAAGTTTTCTTCGCTGAGATAAGAATCTTCTAAATCTAAAAATATAATCAGCGTAAAACGCTAAGGGGGCCCGCGTATACTTTCCGTAACAGTAATCGTACAACGTATCATAAGAAGCCAATCAAAGCTGAAAATTTTTGACAATTCTTAATGATTGGCTAATTTTACGGTACATCTTATGGTTACGGAAAGTATATGCGAGCCCCCTAAACATTGACTTCTTCTGAATGCGACTATTCACAAACCTCTTTAAATTATTTAAATGCTCATCATTCAAACGATCATTATTCATAATCATTTGGTTTTCATTTATTATATCGAGTAATCTGTTAAATAAGCTTGGCATTTAAATTGCCGATAAGACAAATCCTATACAGATCCTGTATATTTATTACATAAAATCTTTTTCTTTATTTATAGATGGATGTAAACCTGAAAAGTTTTGTATTCTTTTTTTGAAAGACTGTATATATGAAGATTACATAGAGAGAAAGAAAGAGAGAGAGAAAGAGAAAGAAGACATTACAAAATAATAGAAAAACGCCCGTGAGAAAAGGTATATTAAATGTATTACATTTCTGAACGAGAGATTTTATGAGGACTATAAATTCTTAAAGAAAGTAACCGAATTGATTATAGATTGCGGAATTATTTGCTATAATTATTATTGATTATGAATACAATACTCAGACAAGTATCTTGTCTGAGTCCGTTTGTTGGAATTTGCATTTATGTATCGCGCATGTTATGAAAAATTGTAAAGATAAATATTACACAATTCTAAGCTACCATAATCATGATTATAGATAATATACAGTTACGAAAGTTTAGATAAATACGTACAGTTATAATATTTCTAAATATAAATAATGCATAATATATATTTATTACATATAATCATAAAATTATAATTGTAAACTATTATAAATATCAGATTATAAAGAAATATAATAGCAAGTAATTATAAATAGTACTGCATTCCTGTGTGTTATAAAGATTTAATGAAGCTAGATCAAGATACGAGATACGCCGCGATTTTTCATATTGCAGCAAAGTGGATCGAATGGATCCAGGTAGCACCATATTTACATTTCGCCAGTTACTCTTATATTGATTCGCGTATATATCAAATGACCTTCACCTACAAACGTTTCCGCGAGTTTATATTTAGATTTTGCAGAAAAAGCGCATAGCAACGAAATATTCTTCCAAATAAATCACGCTTTCTTTAATTTCTCATATCGCGCAATTTATCGCGACAATGACGTAATTTCACCGACGCACTTGCATGTGATGTTATCTCACCTCGTACCAGCTGATATTTTTTTTAACGAAGTAGCTGTCGATCCAGCCGCCAATGTTAGGGCAGATCGTCGCCGTCAACATGGGCCAATTGATCTTTACCGGCATCTTGACTCCTCAATGCGCACCTGTTTACTTCAATGTACAGACAGTAGAATATAATAGGATGTGCAAAGTTCGCGCGACGTGCACGCTCGAGGAGAACGTCGATAAATGGACTGGTTGTGCTTACCTAAGCGTTGTAGATTGCTATGACTAAACTATTGCTTTTTCAGACAGTGGCGTAGCTATAGTTGCCGATTCTAGCAGGCTCTTCTCATTTATATTCTATTTACACGTATGCTAGTTCTCTTTCTTCTTCCTTTGCCGTGCGTTTGAATTTCACTCCAGTAAGTATTTTCACTTTGAACTTTGTGGATCTAGAAGTTGATGTACGGTTTATTGATCAAGTATCTTTATCACTTGATAGAAAAATAGCATCTTTGAAATTTTTTTTGGATGAAGTCAAGATCATATCTAAAATTATAATGAAGAAAAATGTAGGAAAATAAGAATTTTTCAATCAAATCGACTCACTTGATGTGCATGGATTATTTTCGCTATTTAATTTGTCAAAAAATATACATTCTTAATTATAATAAAATGCACTATGTCCAATTTGTATACGTCTTACATTAATTCATTATGTTATCTGCAGTAAAATATCATTCACGGTGTTTGACATGCATTTTCATGCTCACATGTGATATAAACGGAATAGAAGTGTTAAAAGAAAGAGAAACTTGTTAAAGAAAATTCGGATTAGCAACTCGGTGTGCAAGTAACTCTCAACTACGAATTATCGTTGTAGGATTAGGCGGCTCGGTATGCTTTTATTTACACATGAGTAAATACATTTCAATATTTCAATAAATACATTTGGAGCAAAATATGTCATAATTATATTATACAAGATTCGTCTTCGATGCACCTTGCGTGATATTTTGTACGTGATATCACATATGTATTTATGTATATGTATATTCATGTATATCTGCATGTAGAGTAACTACGTAATTTAGATGCATATGTATGTATATAGAGTATTTTGTCAAATATGAGCATAATTTCGCTAGTACTTTAAGAAAACAGCCTGTATATATGCATTTGTACGTGTGTATTTGTATATATATATATATATATAAATTACCCGCAAATAAAGATTAGTTCGCCTCTTATCGAACGCTGTTTGGGTCAATATTTGCGCATCATATTGCATGATATGAACCATAATATCGAGTTAGTAATTCAATCAAAAATAAATGCATATATTTGAAGTAATGTAAGTATATCATATGCATATTTCGAAATGGAACAGAACAAATCGTGATGTGAATCTGGAATTGACTTTTCTTCAATCATAACTATCGTGACATCAAATGATGCTCAATTAAAAATTCTAAATAATAGATATTTTTCACAAGAAAATAAAATAAAACAAAAAATCACGTTAATTTTAATTAATTTTAAATTAATTGTCATATGTTAACATATAATATATATAATAATTAATATGTTAATTATTCAAATTTCAAATAGATTTGCATAATTCCTGCTTACGGAAGTTCTTAATTTTGAAAAATAAAAAAGAAAACAATATTTTTTATACATTTTCTCATATAAAAAACTAACTCGTCAAATTCGTTGAGTAGCCTATTGTTGGCTTTTCATCCAAGAATAAAGTAAAAATAAAAATACACGGAAACTTCTTCATTTGTGATCAAAGTTACTCACATCGTGTATGCGTGTATGTGTATGTGTTATTACTTCCATTGCTAAACGCAACAAAGTACTGTTTGTTATATCTTAGAGCCAACACCAACACCATTTCGTAGCGTATTCATCTTGTTTTTGCAATTTTTTCCTCCAATTTATTTTCCATGTAATTAAGTCGAACTTTTCATCAACTGGAAGTACTCGAAATTCTTCCTTCACTCACTCTTTTCATCTTTATTGTCCTTATCTCGTGTTCTTCCCTCTTTCCTGCGATCGGGTTTAAAAGCGAACAGTTGATCCTTAACGCGATCCTTGACGAGTTTCTGTGGAATTACCATGATGGTGGTGGTGGTATTACCCAAAAATAGTACGAGGAACATGGCGCTAAGCACTGGTACGTGCCATGTCGCGTCTGGATGGTACGCTAGTTCGTATAACGTATATGCGTTATAAAGCTGAAACAAATAACCAGCGAAGAGGAACGGCAGCAGAAATGAGAGACCGCGCCACATCCACGAATGAAATCCCTCAATGGTGATATCCATATTATCCCTCTCTCCCAGTGCTTTTAACCGGTACAAAACGCCACGTTGGTACCGAAATTGCAAGTACTGGACTACACCTGAAAAATGTTAGTTAAAAGTTTAGCTATTATACATAGTTGAAAATAAAATATTGTTTTGTAGTTATATTTCAATTCTAGACATGAGCTATTTACTCTTTTATTATTTTTTTATACTATTAGATTTTATGACATTTTGCTAGAAATTATGCAATACTCACTGATATACACATTGAACCACATGAACTGGCTACGAAACTGATACCACGGTCCAGTGTTCGGCCAGACTAGTAGAACACCAGATACCACTGTCGAGAGAAAATGATGGAATCTCCACCATCCTTTAATTCTTGATCCATTTACCTTGAGTATACTTTCTCTTATCGTTAACGTACAATAGTACCAAACGAGAAGAAACATAAAACTAAGTTCTAAGGTTCTGGAACATAAAATAAAAAATACAATAGATTTTTAATAAATATATATATGGTAAACAGATTTAATACAGATAATACGAATCCAATTACCGACAGTACTAATTTGAATTTCTCATATTCGTCTTTATACTTGAATCTAAAAGCAATTATTATGAAATGTGACTCCAGATAAAGATATGTCAGATATAATTCTTAACAGTAACATACTTGTCACTTTTATTTAATATTGACACATTAACACTGCCTAGAATAATTTGTAAGTAAATGCCGTTTGACTTAGGTAACGTTTGCTCAATCTCCCTGAGCTGCTGTTCTCTCCTCATCATAGATTTTTGTAATTCTCGCATTTCTTTTGTATTTAGCCTAGAAAAAGATAAAAATCATATAAATTGTCATATATATAATACCTTAATTTAAATAATAATTGCAGATATTCAAAATATTATCAGTATATCTTTCTAAGTATATCTTTTATTTAATAAATAAAAATACTAATTAATTAATATAATTAAAAGTTATCGATTATTCTTCCGAAAAAATTTACAGGCTGGACTTACTGTTTTAAGGACTTGGATATCACACCCATCCGATATTTCTGATGGGAAATACCTTTGACACATTTTGCTTGCAGCTCGCCAATTTCTTCTAATTTCAAAAGATACTCCCTATTTAGTACCTGCAAGTAAATAAGATATCTTTAGAACACAACAACAATCAATAGATGCTTTCCATTTGGCGACACAATTGTCATTCTATCTTTGTTATTCACTAAATGTCAAAAAAAGGTAGAATGATACTTGTATCAACTTGGATTACTAAATGGAAAGCATTTAATCTTTCAATATCTTGATTATCAGTTAATAAATAATGATCAAAGATCATAAACATGATTTGATTCATGACTAATTGATAACTCATTTATTCATTCTTGTTATTCTTCATGGATGTTTTTCAACAATGTACATATACAGACACAGTGTAAGGCCGGAATCAGACTAGGCATTAAAGATTGAGATTGAAAGATTGAAATTTGACCAATCAAAATAATAGGAGCTAAAATTCCTTTGCCCTCATTGGTCAAATTTCAATCTTCAATCTTCGATCTCAATCTTCAATGCGTAGTTTGATTCCTGCCTACACACAGTGAATCATTATATCCTTAGGTCTGTTCCTTTTAGCTGGACTTCTTGCATGATTCATCTATTCTCTTTTTCTCTCCAATATGAAGAGAAAAAGAAGAAAGATAAACCATGCAAGAACTTTAGCTAAAAAGAATAGACCTCTTGTCATTTGTCAATGTTAAACAAAACTAAAACGATCAGTTTTACATAATGTCGCTTATTGAGAAGTTCCCTATATAATACATTATGTATTTTTTGTATTTTTATATTCGTGCAAATTAGATATATATTTTAAATTGCAGATATTCAAATTAAATTTAAAATTAAATATATATTTTACTTCATATAAGTATAAAATTCATGCTTTATTTTTCTTTTAGCTCTACTAATATTGCACAGTTACTGAAATAATCTGGAAAGTAATCGCGAGTATGTGCAGTAATATTCGCATTTTAAAATAAAATTCTGCAGCATCATCGGTTATTAAAATGCGGAATTGTTAAAGCAGTAATTGAAAAAAAATAACACAAGTCGCTCGCGCGTGATCGATTTATCGTCAAGGTCACGCGAACATCGCACGACGTTTGCGAAATCATCAAAACCGCGATTTTTTTTTCGTCTCCCGTCGTGCGGGTTGACATGATCCGCGGATAACCCTTGCTTTTCAGCAAGGACACAGTCAGACACTGTGTAACACAGTGAGTCGTTTCATCCTTGTTTAACGTTGGCAAACAACAAGGATAAAACGACTCACTGTGTTACACAGTGTCTATGTCCTTGCTGGAAAGCAAGCAACGATGCGATCATGCGGATGAGATGCGAGAGGATGAGACCTAACCTCGTCGGCCCCGTCCTACGACGGCGAGGGATTCTCACCTCGAGTTCTTTGTAGTCCTGCGCCAAATCGTTCCATTCCTTGAAACAGGTGTCGGCGTCGATATCCATCGCGTCGAGGAGGGAAAGAAATATGACGACGTTCGTTGGGATCGCAGGATGTAGGGAGATCTTAAAAGGCCTGAATTTCCGAAAGGGAGATCTTAGGGAGATCACAGGTGGGTTTGTCCGATCTCTCTTCTTCTTCAGCTCGCCGATTTCAGCTGTTAAACGGTAGCTCAGTAATCTTACAGTCCAAGAAGCTTCTTAGGAGGGGACTCTTTTTCATCGACTCGCTCGCACTTTTTGCACCCCAGGAGTCTCAGGACACGCGGTGGTGAACACGTATCAGAGAAAGAAAAAAAAAAGAAGGGTACAGCAGGGTGCAGCACAGTGCAGCTCCACGAGTAGACGACGTCGTCGTTCCTCGGTTACCTATGACTCCTACGAGTGTCTACGTCCGCTTACGTCGACCTACAAGCGGCGGACGGAATGCCAACTGAAGTCCGCCGCGGAACAACTCGGAGCGAGAAGGCCAGAGAAGACGAGAGTAGCCAATATCCGACGGATAGATCGAGCTATACCTCGTTGCCCGATAATGACTCGATAACACCGCGGTGCTGACCGGTGCGAAGACCAACGCATCCAAAAGTGTCGCACCGCGCGCCGCTAAACGCGCGCGAGGATTATTTGGATCGCCGACGATGCCGACAATTGCCGAGCCTCCAAAACGGGCCACAAACGGACGAAAAGATGGGGAAGAGGTCGCGCGGTTCGCGCCCGTCGCGGCCGATATCGATACTCCGATCGAGACGGAAGATATCGACTTATACTTCGTGAACTAAGCTTTGAATCACGATTTCCTCCCGCTGGAGAACGGTCGTCGAGAAAAAAGCGCGGAAGCTTGGCGAAGAAAGTGGATCTTGGGATCGACCGAGCGTGAAATATATTACTTTTATCTTTAATAACACGCAACTGTAATATCAGGCACTTGATTAATATGTTAAAATAGCGATCGTTAAAGTAATCGTTATTAACGCGAGACAAACAGGTTGGTCGCGCCCATCGCGCGTCCGCTTTTTTCATTTTGTCCAACTCTTTTCTTCTCTATTTTCGTTCCATTTCGCATTTATTGGATTTTAACCGTTAATACACATGATTGAATGATTCGTGTCCTGCGAATTTCTTTCCTTTGAAATACTAGGAGCGTAAATTAATTAGTAAATTAATTAATTAGGATAAATTAATTATATAGTGATCTCTATACATATATCTTTTCCTTTTTTTTTAATACACAACTTTATAAATGTTTTCTAAAGATGTTAAAATATATGTAAGAATAGTAAATATGCAGTTAATAGTAAATGTGCAACGCTCCCATCTCCGATTTTTTCCCGAAATTTAAAAAATTTAATTGTATATTTTTGTACATATAAGAGTCGTAGAATATATTCCGAGAAGGAAAGTTGTTGATCAGTCCCGTTTTTTTAATTTCAAGTTTTTTTTATGCCGACACAAAAAGAATAAAAAATTATGGAACATTATACTGCATATTAATATATCATGGTAAATTTACCATAAGAATCTTTATACTTTTTGTATACTTGTAAACGTGATGAAAATTAATCCGGAACACGAACGACTCGTATCGTAACAAAGAATCGACATGTCATGGTGTAAATAATATAGAAAGGATTAATATTTATTTCTTTTTTTTAGGAGCCGGTTTCATAAACGTAAAAACTAATTTTAATCTTGATAGATCTCGATTCGACTTACACTTTATTTTTTTCTAATTCTAATTCTTAGAATTAGAAAAAGGTAAACAGTACAACAAGTTAAACCGAGATTAAAGTTCATCTTACATTGATTGAACCGAGCCTTATACTTAGAAAAAGATGAAGAATTAATTTTATCGAGATAAAAGAACCAAGATTAAAGTTAAAGTACATTGGCAGATAATATAACGGACATAGTTAGTCACTTAAAGTCTCGAAAGAGATAAAATTGAAAAAAACACAATAACAAAACAATTAAAAGAAAATGGAAGGGGACGAATGGAATTTAAAACTCCATGATGTATCAGAGTGTGCAAGGTAAAGAGTTTTAACTCGAATCTTTCTACAATTAAAATTAAAATTGCATGAAAATTGCCTGAAATGACAATTACTTGATGGTTATCGGGCTATAAATGTGTCACGATTCTCATTCCTATTTATTTTTTAGAAACGAAATAGAAGAGGATGAAGCGGAGGAAAAGGAGGAGAGCGGGTCTTGTTTATCAAGTATTATATATCAGATACATCCGAAATCTCGAAGGACCCAGGAATGTATAAGTGCGACATAAAACTCCACGTAGCTGATTCATTTTGAATAAACTTAGCATATCTCGGGATGTAATCGACGTGTTTCTCTCTGTGCTCTCGACGGACCGTCTCAGCTATTTTGACATTCAAATATCTGCGTCTTATTTATAGGTAGTATAGCCTGCAGAGCGATTTAAAGTTTTTCAGAGAGAAGAATTCTCTTCTTTTTCTTTTTCCCGCGTGGAAAGCGAGCCGCTTTAAACGTACCTGGACACGTATTATAGAATTGTTCGGAATAGATTTTTTGAAAACGTGAAAATTGTAATTGTAAACAAAAAACTTTTATTTTTCACATTTTTGTTCTAGGGAAAAAAATTATATAATCGATCGATACTCAATCTGGTCGCTTTATTATCCTTTAAGAAACGTAAGGAAATTTAAATGCGCGGCTCCACGAACTGACGCTGACCGCGATGAAATAATTTCTCTATAAAAAAAGCGCGCGCTTATCGTATTAATGATAATTAATTACTTTATATAGAAACCTGGGAAGCGGATTTGACCGCGTCTCTAATTCAAGACGAGAAGGATAGAATGGCGGAGCAGTTCCAGATAACGGTACCCGATCTCCTGCTGCAAGCCTGTCGCGAATTCAGTCGCATGGAAGGCAGAAGGTCATTTCGAACTGCTCGACTACGCTCCGCTTCCGGTCGGCATCGCTTCCGGCCGGTTTGTCAGCGACCGGCAACCAGGAGGCCGCATGCGCGATAGTGAGGATCGAGATGCTCGCCAAGCGAGTTCGACAGTTTGACCCCTGAGAATCGAGCATAGTTTGTTAGACCGGCACGTACGCGAGTTCATACGGAGCTCGAGCCTTCAGACACTGAGTATAACGAAGGAGGAGAGCACGAAGAAGTCACGCGAGTCTCAGTTTTCAAATACAACATCCTGGGATGAAGTGCAATTGCTCGATAATTGCGATATAATATAACGACATAAGAAGAGGAACTAATTAAAATCAAATATCGGTATGTATACATTTATTATTATGTTATTAAAGCTATTTCTTTAACGATCTTTTTGAATTGCTAACCGGTTCGAACCACTTTATTTTTTTTTTTCATCACGGACGAACTAAATTTAGCTTGCTGCTGTGAGTAAAATCTATTTAATTAAATTTAGTTAAATCGATCGTGAATTAAACGTATCGCGATCGAGAAAAGATTGATTACAAATTGAATAAAGTTACAGTATAACTTAAAGACAAAGCAAACCTTAATTGTTTAAAATCAAAATTATTGAATTGAAATTACATGAACTAAAATTATACGTATGTTTGAAAAATACTCGACTAAAGGATAGTGCATTATCATTAACGTTGTTTGAGATTTGGTCCGTCGACGCAATCGCTCGCTCAAGTGAGAGTTCATCTCTATCTCTTTTTGAGAGTTGTTTATATTTATTGTATGTATTATTGTATTAAAAATAGCACAAATAATTTTATAGATTATACAGTTTCAATTGAGAGCGTAAAAGATAAAATTCGAATCATAAATTAAAAAAGAAGATATGTGTTATTAGCTGTCTAAATTTAAACTTTAACGTCATTATCATAATATTTCTTTAAAATAATAATTCTAGTATGAAAATCATACATTTTTAATTGATTAGATTTTTAATTTTGTTAACAGCACATGTTTTTTTCTATACTCGAATAGAAAATATAATAAATTAATGCTTACGTCTGTTTCAACGTATCGAATATCCTATAACGCATTATATATATATTGAGTATTAAATAAAAACTATTTTATAAATAAAGACTATTTCATAAACGTGAAACGTTGATCATATTTCTTAATTAATTTCAAAATTATAAATTTGATTGCGCACGCACATAATTGTTTCACTTATATCATTCTGTTTTCTTAACTGCACTTTTTATCTCCTGATTATACCACGCCTTCCAACGTATGAGTTATGTTAGGAAAGGGGAAGAAATATCGGTGAGATATCCGGATATTATATGATACATACTCCAGATACAAGGTTTTGTTTAACATTCGAAAAACAAAGAACTCGACCGTTATATTACATTTAAGTGAGCAATATTGTATTTACTTGTATTTCAAAACATTGGAATTACATGTCGCATAGTACATTAAAACTAATGTTTTCGTTTACTTTTCTTTTTATAAAACTTGCTTATCTTCGTTTGCATACATTATTTGTCTTGTAATAATTTCGTTGACTTGAAAAAAAATTGCTGAATCGCGAAGCGCTGAATCGGTACGTGTATCAGATTCGATACGATCACGATCTGATTTCTCATTGACAGCGAAGCTGCACATTCGTCTCTTGGACTTGTATACCTGGTGTCGCCAAAGAGATGCACACTACACCAAGAACATTACGAAGATTCGCGAGGTCGATGAACTTCCGCAATGATTTCAACGTTTCGTTTACCAAGCGCGGAACAATCCTTGGGTCCGATCTGCGGTTTTTATTATTAAACGATAATGATGCTGCTCCTCCTTTATGGAACGTTGCTAACCAAGGCTTGAGTTCCGTGTTATCGCGAACGTTCGCGCAAGATTTCGGCACTTCGGCGAGGAAGGAACCACCCGAGTCACGAGGTCTTCCCTTGCTCGGTTCAGTATTATCCCTGACGATATCCGGTGGTGCGAAAAAGCTGCATGAATACGTGGACAATAAACACCAAGAACTTGGACCAGTCTTCAGAGACCAGATTGGACCAATCGAAGCTGTTTTTGTTAATTCGCCAGCTGAATATCGTAAGGTATTAGCCGATCTTGCGGGTAATACGCCGCGGCACTTCTTACCGGAATCCTGGATGTTGTATAATGAAATTCGAGTACAAAACCGAGGTCTGCTCTTCATGTACGTACGATGTTCTCCCATCGGTATGTTAAAGAAAAAAATTGTTATAAATTCCGATAGAATTAGATATCAGCGATGAAATTGTAATCGAAATAATTACTTTGTAAGATGTTTTTGTATGGAAATTTTAATTTTTCTTATAATCTTTTAATATAATCAAACATTTTTCGTTCGTCTGAATTCTCTTCTTCTCAGCGAAGTAATTTATTTTGTCGTAAAATAATTTCGATAACGAAAGAACACTGCGTTGTTGGATTAGGGAGGGAGAAGAGTGGTGGCATTACCGTAAAATTCTCAATAAAGTGATGCTGAAACCTGGACCAAAGATTTTTTTCTATGGACCTTGTCAAGAGGCCGCCGAAAATCTCACGAAGGAATGGCAAAGGTACTGCCGAATCGGTTGTGTAATACCGAATCTGGAACATCGGCTGTATCAGTGGTCTATTGAGGGTAAACTTCGAGAGTCATTACATAATAGAGATTTTATATAGCAACATTTAACATAACATACTTTGTTAAATAGCGTTATATCATTTAGTGCATTACACGCGCATTTATCGACTACGTAAAATTGTTTTAAATGATTTTTCGCGATGTTGATCGATATCTTTTTACAGTGATGTTAGCGGCCATGATAGGTTCGCGATGGCATGTTTGCGAACCGCGGTTACGTTGTGACATAGAAGATTTGGCTACGATATTACACCAGATTTTCACGTATACTTCACGCCTCTCAATGATACCA